GTTGGATATGTCTCAAAATCCCTCTGAACAGATGCTGAGAAGTATCACGTGCAAGAGTATTTTGTTAAATATCTTCTAAAAATTGTAACCAATGAAACTTGCCATTGGGGCTAGGATTGTGGCTCAGTGGTATAGTGCTCACCTAGCCATGTGCAAGGCCCTGGGTTCAATCCTCAGCAACACGTAATAATAAATAAATAAAATAAAGGAATTGTGTCCAACTACAACTAAAAAAAATTAAAAAAAAAAAAAAAGAGGGGCTAGGGATGTGGCTCAAGCGGTAGTGCGCTTGCCTGGCATGCGTGCGGCCCAGGTTTGATCCTCAGCACCACATAAAAACAAAGATGTTGTGTCCGCTGAAAACTAAAAAATAAATAAATATTTTTTAAAAAAATTCTCTCTTAAAAAAAAAGAAAAAAGAGGGACTGGGATTGTGGCTCAGTGATGGAGTGCTTGCCTGGCATGTTGAGGCACTGGGTTCGATCCTCAGCACCACATAAAAAGTAAATAAATAAAGGTATTGTGTCCATCTACAACTAAAAAAAAATATTAAGAAAAAAAGAAACTTGCCATCTGACACTCGTGGAGAGGGAGGCAAGCTGAGCCAGCGTCCTCAGGATGGCCCCGCTATGCCAGTAAACAGACATCATTTCCAAAGGTCCTCCAAGGCACACATCTGGGGCACACAGGCTCATGGCCCAGATCCTCTTTATATTCCTCTTTAAGAGAATATAAAGTACTTATGTTAGGGCTTCTGGGCCATACAGTCTCTGCCACAACTATTTAACCCTATGATGGTGTACAAAAGCAGCCATGGGCAATACTTAATGAATGGCATGACAATATTCCAATAAAAGTTACTTTATGGGCAATGAATTTCATGTGTCATAAAATACTATTCTTCTGATTTTTTTTTTTTTTTTTTTGCAACCACTTAAAAATGCCATACAAGGCCGAGTGCGGTGGCACATACCTGTAATCCCAGCGGCTGGGGAGGCTGAGATAGAAGGATTGTGAGTTCAAAGCCAGCCTCAGCAATGGCGAGGTGCTTAGCAACTCAGTGAGACCCTGTCTCTAAATCAAATACAAAATAGGGCTGGGGATGTGACTCAGTGATTGGGTACCCCTGAGGTCAATCCCTGCTACAAAAAAAAAAGGACCAGACCTGGCCTTCCGCTGATTTTGCCAACTCCTGATCTAAGACAAATCAAGCAAAGAGAAAGATTTAAACCATTTCACAAAATATCCACCATTCCTAGAGAAAGTCAGGGTCATATAGCAGTGGCAGTGAAATCTCACTTTTTATACAGTAAAGGTTATCTGAAGGCAATTTCTACTGAAATAATTCAAGAAGGGAGACAAAAGCCCTAACAAAGAAATTAAGTTTCTGACTCCACAGATAAAAAGTGATCAGTATGCTCTCCGGGGACAGAAATCGAGAGTTGCAGGGAGCTGTCCATGGAATTCTCAATGTGGGAAACTGTAATTTTACATGACTTTATGCAGAAAGAAAGGAAGCAGCAATTTAACAATCAAGTCAAAGGAAAGCTCAGCAACAAGATGATTATAATCAGAGCAGAGGAGCAACAAACTCCAGATAGGCTACGAATTCAGGGACAGGATGAAAAAAAAAATGGTGATCAGTGAAGCTGAAGCTAATAAGGGCCATCAGATAATAACACCAGCCAAGTGCAAAACGGACCTGTCTGAAGAGATGATTTACAAGCCTGTTGCTAATGGGTGGATACTTCCAAAATCTCTTCAAATACTAAAAAACAATCTGAAGTAAGTAACCACACCTGGCTCCAAAAACCTCTTAATCGTAACCAAGGTGAAATGATAAAAACACCTGGTAGAGCCAGGTGTGCACGCCTGTAATCCTGGTGGCTTGGGAGACTGAGGCAGGAGGATCACAAATTCAAAGCCAGCCTCAGCAACAGTGAGGTGCTGAGCTACTCAGTGACACCCAGTCTCTAAATAAAATACTAAATAGGGCTGAGAACATGGCATGTGGCTCAGTGGTCCAGTGCTCCTGAGTTCAACACCTGGTACCTCCCTGCAACCCCACTCCAAAAAAAAAAAAAAAAAAAAAGACAAAACAACAAACCCTCACCTGGCAGTTTTCCCTTGTATTTTCTAGAATGCACACCAAGGACAAGGCAGTGGAGATGCGCACATAATCATAAGCAGAGGCTGTGGCCGTTGGGAATGCCGCCTCTGGGGTCAGACTGCTTGGTTTGAACAACCCCAGTTCTACCTCTTCCTACTGGACAGACATCTGTGTCTCTAAGAATCACTGGGAGGATTAAAAGAAATGCAAATGAAATACTGGGTACAACTTCTGGCACCTGGAAAGTGCTCAATTCAAGGTAGCTCTGTTTTGCTACCACTACTGTTGTCTTTATTATGATTACTGACTGTAACAATGGTGTTAAATCCTTTTGCTGAATTCACTGACTGGCAATCTTCTAGAAGTTGACCTCCACTCACAGCAGTTTTCCTCTTCATCTGACACTGAGAGCATTTTCTCTCCTATTTTTTTAAAAATATTTTTAGTTGTAGACACAATATCTTTATTTATTTTCATGTGGTGCTGAGGATAGAACCCAGTGCTTCACAAGCACTCTACCACTGAACCACAACCCTGGCCCCAAGCATTTCCTCTTCTTAGAGCAATATGTAAATTCCAATCCCAGATCCCATCC